GGTATATCTGCAGGACAATTCTGTTTCTAATGTCACAATGTCTACAAGTATTTTAAGATGAATGGGGAGGTTTAGGATTAAAAGGACTGACACACCGATTCACCTATTGTTTGAATGCCTCTTTCCCTTTTAGTATATTTAACTTAGGAGAGAAGGCCTAAAAAAATTCCTAAGAGGCCCTGAATATCAGCTTCTCCTATTTGGCCAAATTTCTAATCCTAAAGTTATCAAATCCTTTCAAATATATTGTCAGGTTTCATCCAGGACAAACAATAAATATTTCTGGTGGTATTCAATAACCTCATCAATTTTAATTTTTGTTTCCCCTTGGCTGTTTAAGGAAATACATAGCAGTTTGCCAGAAAATCCCTCAGAGAGTCATCAAATCTGGGAGGGACCCATATGAGGCCATTTAAGTTGATGCTGAAGAGTTTACATAGGGTTTTTGAGGATAGTTTTTTCCAGTGTCTCAGTTGATTGAAATTGAGACATCATTCTGGGGGCCAATGTTTTGATGAGGAAGCCTAGGAGGGTATAATGGGTTAGACCTAGTTATTGTTTTAGATACCTTTTGTGCCTGATTTTTCATTAGCCTTTTACGACAAGTATTTCAAAGAGGCTATCTGGGAATTTCGAAATCTTTTGGAGGCTTCTTCACACTAATTAAAATAGGTATTCCATTCTGTTTGTTCCATATGGGAACCCTTGCTTTTAAGTGTACTTAAAAGAAAAAAAAAAAAGGCAGTAGTACCATGGTTAAGGGTGTTGACATGAGAATAAATGGGTTCTTATCCCAGTTCTTACTAGCTGTGATACCTTGGGCAGGTTACTTAACCTCTCTGACTCTGATTATCCTTATCTTTACAATGGAGACATTTCAGTGGGCCATTATCCTGTTTTGTAACCTCCATTAGCTTCTTGATGCGTAGAAAATCTTAAAGGGAAATCTGAAAAATCTATTCCTGACATCTTCATTTGATTTTTTGGTTTAGGTTTTAGAGGCTAATGATGGAGATCAGGATTCTTTCCATCTGTTTTGCTTAACTAAGAAGAACATATGGATTATATTTTGGAAGAAGTTATGAGGAAGGGGACCCATTTCATTTGTCTCAAGAAATTTAGAAAATCAATTTAAGAAGACCCTTAGATCAGGTGAACATTGTTTTAAGGAATTCTATAAAAACTCAAAGCAGACATAAAAACTTAAAGGATACAAGAATGTTTTATCTAGCAAGCTTCCAAAATGCAATTTTAAGTTATTCAACTTCTAAGCAACTCTTTATACGTATTTCCAGTGAAAAGGAAGTTTTCTTCTCAAAAAGGGAGATATAGTCTATAATTCCGTTTAAGTCAAATTCTGGGAAAATATGTGGATCTCTCAGGTAATTGCATAGACTTTGTTTTGTTGCACACCAGAAATTAATAAACATGTCTATTAAGTTGCTTTTAAAAATCTGAGTGCAAAAATCAGTTGCTTACCCTTTGCATTTCCCTGTTCTTCAAATGTTGTATATTTAATTGAAATTTAATTTCACTTTGCTTAAGAATATTATTGGAACATTTGGAAATTTTAAAAAAGGGGGGCAGGGCAGAATAAACCGACTGGAATCTGTGAGTGGCTTTACCTTATCCACCTGAGTAAAGAAGGTTTTGGTTTTGATTGCTCAGGGTCACTCCTGAGAAATGACAGTTTCTGAAGGGTAGTTCTACGAAACGTAGTTTTACTCAGTAGGACTTCAACAATATAAAGCTTACTCTTTTTGAAACTTCGCAGGTTTTTCTTATCTTATTCAACCCCATCCTGCAGAATGCACCAGCTGGAATAAGCAACTACAGAATCGCCTAGGATAGCACTATTAGGAAAAGATATTAAATCTTTATCCTGGCAATGGGTCTAATAACTGTCTTCGTTTATTACTGGCGTAAACTCATAAAATTGCAGCAAAGCAAAAGCAAAATTGGAATGTCTGGACTAGTGACCAGTGAGGAAAAGAAACAAAGGAGTATTTAAATATTTGTTTTGGGAATTCCCTGGCCATCCAGTGGTTAGGACTCCACACTTTCACTGCTGAGGGCATGGATTCAATCCCTGGTCGGGGAGCTAAGATCACACAAGCTGCACGGCCAAAAAAATATATTTATTTATTTTAAATAATGTTTCCAGTTTTCTCCATTACAGTGCTTTAATGAACATTGAACATCTTAAAAGTATTACGTAGGAAACTTGAGGGAAATTTTGGTACCATAGATTATTGAAAGTGGAATTTTGATCAAAGAAATTCATGTTTTACAATTTGATAGATCAGTTAAATAAGTTATCTTACATGTATACAATGAAATGCAACCCTTAAAAAGAATGAGTTAAATCTGTAAGTACTTATATTTTAAAATGGCCACAGTATATTTGTAAATTGAAAAAGGAGTTGCTTAGCAGTATAAAATCCCATTAATATTTATAAAGGGATGTTAATATTTCAGAGAGTAAAATCTGGAAGAATAAACGTCAAACAGTGGTGAACTTATTCGTTGAATTAAAAGATTATTTTTTAAATTACATATGTGCATGAATAAATTCATCTTGTAAAAATAAGTTAATACAGATTCACAGACACTTGTACTCAAATGTTCAGTTTTATTCATAAAAGTCCAAAACTTCAAACAACCCAAATGGGCCATCAATTGATGAATGGATAAAGAAATTGTAGTATATCCATACAATGGAATACTACTCAGCAATAAAAAAGAACAAAGTATTGGTACATGCTATAACATGGATGAATCTCAAAATCATTTGGCTAGGAGAAAGAGGCCACCCACAGAAGACTGACTACATACTGCAGTATTCCATTTACATGAAATTTGGAAAGGGCAAGTCTATAGTGACAGCACATCAGTGGTTGGCCAGCGGCTTGAAGTGAGGGAAGAGAACGACTACAAAGGAGTATGAGAGAACTTTTGGGGGTAATATAAATGATTAATATCATGATTATGGTGTTGGCTACACTACTGTATACATTTGTTAAAATTCATAGAATTGTACACTTAGAATTGGTGAATTTTGTTGCATGTAAATTATATCTCAATAAAGCGGATTTTTAAAAGTATAGATAAAGCTCTTTTGACTACCACCCCCAAACTAGGTTCCCTCACTCTGGGGAAGGTGCCCTCCTCGCTCCACACAGGTTAGACAGGTAACCAGTAACTATCATTACTGCAGATTCTACTTGAAAGTTATTGTTCTGCATTCACACACACACACACACACACACACACACACACACACACCCCACACACCCCACCCCGGGTGAAATCTACATTTTTATATTCCTTCACGGTACTTAGTCATTATTTGGTGTTTTTTCAGTAACTGTATCTCGGAGAGCTTTTCATTAGAATTTATAGTTCTACATTCCTTTAACTCCTGAGAGTATTCTCAGGAGCAGTAATGGATACACCATAGTTTATTCAGCTATCTCTCTATCATTCAACCATATGTGAGTTTCGCGGTGTGCCAAGCCCAGCGAAAACAACGTAATATAAAAACGGGCTAGAGGCCGGCCTTACAGAGTTTTCAGACAAGTGGGAGAGGGGAAGAGGGTTGTCAATAGTAATATTAAATGTGAAATCATAACTGTGAAGAGCAGTTATGATTTTTTTGAGCCTGAGTAATTTAGGAGGTGAAGAATGTATTTTCCCAGGGAGTTAAACTCTAAAGAGATCTGAAAGGTGGGTGAGCATGACTTAACCAGCATAAGGGTGCTGGTCGGGGGTGCTACTAATCCTAAACTGCACCAACAGTATGGAGGAAGTATGTAGGAGGCGAAGACTGTGGGGAACTTACGGATATATGTGTAAACATGTATTTTAAACAAGATGTATACTTTATTTTGTAGTCAGGAAAACACTAAGATCGTAAATATTTTTTAAGTGAGGAGGCTTTCCACTTTCTTAACATCGGGAATAAATCTTCCATGCTTCTTCTGGGAGAGAAGAGATACAAGAAAAGCCTTCCCCGTTGGCTTCTCTTAAAAAGCTTCAATAGTCGACGAAAATGTCTCGGAGTTCTCTTGTTCTGACAAAGGATTAGGGATCTTCAGTATAACCTGGCGTGGGGACCGAGGTGTTTAGGCCTAGCTTCATATGGGGTTGCTACAGCCTCTGCCCCTGCACGTCAGCTTTTAACAAGTTATCTCTTGGGAAAGCAGGGCCCGTTTTCACCCCTCCATTAGGGCAAGTGTGTGGTCCCGTGCGTGAACCGCGTACCTTCGTAGAGCAGGAAATCCCCTACGCGCGTTCCCTTGAAGAGGCGGAAAGAACGGAGGTTCACTACCGAACCCAAAATGCACAGCCCGCCTTTCCGGAAGCAAGGAATACAACCGCCAGGATGCATTTCTCTGCGCAGAAACGTCCCTCCTTGAGTCTGATTGGACGTGATGAAGCGAGGCAGTGTGGGACCGTGTCCGTCGCCCTTTACACAGGGGCTGACTGGCCTCGCCCAACTCCAGGAGCCACGTCCGGGGGGGTGACGCCGGCCAGCGGCGCAAGTCAGCGAAGATGGCCAATTCCCCTGGTGCGCAGGCGCACTGGTTCGGGCAGCGCCGGAAGCGCAGGGGGATGGGGCGACGGTGACGCGATTCTGTCCGCGTTGGAGGGGCCGGGCCGCTGCCGGAGTCGCCGCGGCTGCCGCGTGACGTGGCATAGCCGAAGATTTAACGCCAGAGCCGGAGCAGCCCCGCCAGTCGTCAAGCAGGTCATCACCCCGCTAATTCCTTCCCGGAGGGGAGCTCCGTCCTACACATCGGCTGGCGAGCCGTCCCTGCGGCCCTCAGCTCCTCTTTCCTCCCTGAGTTTGCCGGGAGCGTGAAAGAAGGCTCGGGGTCGCGCCAAACCCCTTCTGCTTCTGCCCATCGCAAGTGCCACTACCGCCATGGGCCTCACCATCTCCTCTCTCTTCTCCCGTCTCTTCGGCAAGAAGCAGATGCGCATTTTGATGGGTGAGTCAGGGCCCGAGGGAAGAGGCCAGGCCCTGGTGGGGCGGCCGAGTCTCTACGCTTGGGGCGGCCTCGGGGCCTGTTTTTTTACCCCCCGTCAGCTGTTGTTTGGGGAGGGGCGGCGGGCTGGGGGTCGGGAGGAATTCTTAAGGGGGAACAATGGGGCGAAGGGTGGGCGGTCGCCCGAGATCTCTCGAAGAGGCTGGAACGGGGCCGCGGGCAAGGTTTCCTCCTTCTGGGTTTGGCTTTCTCTTCGTGGTCTTATTAAAAGCCCGACACAGTTTGGCGGAGATGTGAGAGTATCGAACTGTCGGATCTTGCCGAACCCGAAAGACGCTGGCGAGGCCCATTCTGTGAGTGCGATCTGGCTCCCTTCTTCCCCGGGTGTGGGCAACGGTCGGGAGGGAGGCCGAGCGATTCCAGCCTTCCTCCTCCCCTTTTCTGCCCCGTGTACACACTCTGCACACTCCAATGGTGTGTGAGCGAGCGGTCGCCGAGAGCCCGGAGCCGGCCGGGGCAGGAAGTGACCGGGCCCAGTGCGGTGGCAGGGGAGCACCCACGGTTTCAGTAGAGTCCGGAGTCCTCAGCGCTCACTTCGCTAAACTTTGCTTCGCTCAGGATTCCGCCTCATATTTTTTTTCTTTTCCTTATTAATGTTCCTGAAAACTGAGTTTATCATGAATGTTTCGTTTGGCCACTCTCAAGGGCTAAATATATTTGGTTTACTCCCTTTGGTTTTAAAACTATGCAGTTTTTATACAGCTGGCTAAAGTTTAATGAAAAAAAAAAAGGCTTAGAAACTAATTCTTTTAAGCCGGTGACAGATTTTCAGTAAGTGAACATCTTGACGCATAACTTTAGGGAGGCCTTGTTAAGCAGTAATTACAAGGGTGTTTTTTAAAAATTCTTATGGAAAATGGGCTTTTTAAAAATTGCTTTTTAGGGTCGGTTTTTCGCTCTGCTGAGGGAGAAGGGGCTTGTCACTTGAGTGATGTAAGCAATGCCTCCCTCAAAGTACTGTGAGTAGTCTTTACATCACAGCTAAGCTCCATGGACCTAAATAATGCTATAATTAGCCTCGGTAACTTTAAACATTGAATTTTGTTGGTTCATTAGCTTGTTTTCTAGAGAAGTGCAGTGGGGGAGGTTTTATTTGAAAGTTTCCCAAAGCAAGCTTCAGTAGTATTTCAAGGTATGTGAAGATAAAGGGTGTGCACATTTGGTTCTTTTTTCACTTTCCTCTTATTGCAGCTTATTCACAATCCATGAAACAATTGTTGATAATTCATTCACAAAGATAAATGAAAATGTTTTCTCTTTCAAAGTTTGTCAGGTTTCAATTATGAAAAAGAATTATTTTAGCAGGGTAAACATATTATTTACTCTTTAAAAGTGCCTGAAAATCGACCGTCTAAAAAAGGATCTGAAGTCACTGGGAGAACTTTGGACTGTGCTAAATGATTTCCAGCCTGTTCCTTAAAGAGATTAGCTAGTACGTGGTTCTGTTCCTGGAAGTGTAGTGTGTTATATTTGAAATGTAATGTGTAGTATTTTACTTAAGATTTTTTGTAAATTGTTGTTTCTCATTTCACTAGTTTTTTGTGACGGCTGACAGTTTCAGAGGGAGAAGAAAGGTAGAATTATATACGCTATAAGCACTTTCATATATTTACTATATTAGGGAAGCATTTCTCTCCTTTACTCCCCAGAAATGATTGATAGAAAATGGAAGAAGAAAAGTAACTTTGTGCATTTGTGCAGGGAATAGAAGTCATGATTTGAAATTATTCATTCATGTTAAATGTTTTATTACTCAGGTTTGCTGTTCTTGTTTTGCACTTTAACTTAGGATAATTAGGTTTCCTTGATTAAAAACAGGTTAGTCACAAGGTCACCTTTTATGGTAGCTCATCAAAGGAAGTATAACCTTATGGAGAATATGTGTATGGATAGTGAAATAGGTGATTTGGGGGTTTGATCATTCTTAGATTTTTATATCTAGCTTTATGAGTGATAGCATATATAATAGATCACTCTTAATGTGTCTGCCCCTATCCTAGTTTAGAATTACCAATTAATGATTGTTTTTTCCATATTAATTTTCTTTGACAGGCATGTGTTCTTCCTTTTCCTTTATATGGCTTAGTAAAATTCATGCTTTCTTGAGTCAGTGACCATTTTAAAATGTTGTTGAAAGATAGCAGTTAGCTATTGAATCTGGTTTGCCAAATTACTGTTGGAGAAGTTTTAAATTTTATTTGTACACACTTTCCTAAAAGTTAAAGTAATTTTAAAAGGTGTTTGAAGTTGCAGCTTATGTTAACTAATTAAAATTTTTTTTTCTTTTTGACCGTGCTGTGAGGCATGCGGGATCTTAGTTCCCCGACCAGGGGTGGAACCCACGTCCCTTGTGTTGGAAGCATGGAGTCTTAACCACTGGACCGCCAGGGAATTCCCTAATTAAAAAATTTAAAATCGGGCTTCCCTGGTGGTGCAGTGGTTGAGAGTCCGCCTGCCGATGCAGGGGACACGGGTTCGTGACCCGGTCCTGGAAGATCCCACATGCCGCGGAGCGGCTAGGCCCCTGAGCCATGGCCGCTGAGCCTGCGCGTCCGGAGCCTGTGCTCCTTAACCGGAGAGGACACAACAGTGAGAGGCCCGCGTACCGCAAAAAAAAAAAAAAAATTTAAAATCAACACAATGTATCAAATGTAACATCACTTAAACTATAGATTGACAGAAATTTTGTAGTTTTACAGAAAAAAATCTTGTAAATGATATTATTGAGCTTAAATTCAAAGATGACCAGTTTTCACCTTAGATTTCTCCTGTAGTCCGTCATTATCCTGTTTTAAGTCTGATCTCCATATCTGTGGTGAGATGTAATTTTGGTAAATGACTGCCCAAATTTTGTTTATATTTGAAACAATATGTTCTGTAGAGGAAATACTAATTCTCCTCTCTTTGAACTTGTAAGTTCTTGCCCGTTGAAAAGCTGAGAAAGTATTGCTTTCGAAAAGATTGCTAATACATACCAATGTAGTTTTGTGTTGTCTTTCATGTGACAGTGGCTTTTTGGGACCAGAGAGGTTTTGGAGGAAAGGATCTTTTCCCAATTTGAAAAATATTAACAATATTTTAAAGTGAGTGGTGTCTCATACTTTTTTCCTAGCATATTTTATAAATACATTTACTATTTAATTTTAAATTTTTGGTCCTGATTCTAAAAATAATGTCCTTATTGTTAAATTTAGAAAACATGAAAAACAATAAAGTGATAATTTCTTATCATTCCACCATTCCACTTTTAATATTTGTTATATTTACTCTCAGCCTTTAAGAGGAGGTTTTTGTTTCTCCAAAATTGTAGTCCTTTTGACTTAGTTTATTATGACCATCTTCTTAGGTCATTAGTTGAAAACATAATTGCCAGCCTTTAAAAAAGGGGGTGTGTGTCTTCTGATTAGTTATGTGATATAGGTAAACAGAAAAGGCAAAAATCCTTAGCTTCATGCCATTAGAAGTTGATACAACCACCCTTAGGTGTACCCTCCTGCATTATTATAAAGTATGACTATCAGAGGCTGATAATTTGCTGTTAATTAACACATTGATGGAAGTGCTGATACTCCTGACCTGTTAGGTAGAAGCAAAACTCAAGGTCATTATAGTTTTTCTGTACATCTGGTAGCCTCAATTTCAGTTTTGATGGTCAAACCTCTGAGGAATTAGATAAAATATTAAGATAGTGTGTGTCCACCAAAAAACCCTAAGGGCAGGATGGCAATATATGAATACTATTTGAGAGCTCTGGCATCAGACTTAGGATTGTTTCTTTTTTTTTTTTTTTTTTTTTTTTTGGTAATACGTGGGCCTCTCACTGTTGTGGCCTCTCCCGTTGCGGAGCACAGGCTCCGGACGCGCAGGCTCAGCGGCCATGGCTCACGGGCCCAGCCGCTCCGCGGCATGCGGGATCCTCCCGGACCGGGGCACGAACCCGTGTCCCCTGCATCGGCAGGCGGACTCTCCACCACTGCGCCACCAGGGAAGCCCTGGATTGTTTCTTTTTAATTAAAAAAAAATTGAGATGTAATTCACATACTATTCCTTAAAAGTGTACAGTTCAGTGGTTTTTAGTATATTCATAAAGTTGTGTAACCATTACCACTGTCCCCCTCCCCGGTACCGCACAGCTTGCGGGACTGGGGATCTACCTGGACCACGGGGCAGTGAAAGCCCGTAATCCTAACCACTAGGCTACCAGGGAACTCCCACCACTGTCTTAATTCTAGAACGTTTTCATCAGCCCAGAAAGAAACCCCACACAAGATAGCAGTCACTCCCCTCCTCACCCCTCCCTCTTGCAACCACTCTTCTGCTTTCTGTTTCTATGGGCTTGTTTATTCAGGATATTTCATATAACAGAATCATACAATATGTGGCCTTTAGTGTCTGGCTTCTTTCACTTAGCGTGTTTTCACGATTCATCCATATTATAACATGTATCAGTACTTCATTCCTTTTTATGGCTGAATAGTAATTCTGTTGTATGGATATATTCCACATTTTGTTTATCATTCATCAGTTGATGAACTGTAGTTGTTTCCACTTTTTGGTTCTTATGAATTATGCTGCTGTGAACATTCATGAAAAGTTTTTGTGTGGGCATATGTTTTTAATTTTTTTGGGTAGATAAGCTAGGAATAGGGTTGTTGGGTCGTTGTTAACTATGTTTAACATATTGAGGAACTGACAAACTTTTTCAAAGCAGCTACACCATTTTCCATTCCCACAGCTATATATGTATCTAATTTCTCCAAAAGACCTAGGGTTTTAAAATCTGTTTTACTACTCCTGTGATTCTGGGGATGTTTCTGAATCTCAGATTTTGCATCTGAAAAATGGAGAGTTATTGTGAGAATTAAATTACAAAATGTATGGAATCACCTAGTATTGTGTTTGGAACACAATAAGCACTCAATTTTTAATTATTGAAAAATTATGAAGTTTTTTTCAAGCTTCCTTGTAGAAAATTTGAGAGATAAAACATGAAGAAAAATATCCTAACTGAAACTTAACTGAAAATATACTTTTTTATTCTCAGTCGTTTTCTTTTCTGCGTTTGGTTGTTTCTCCAAGTTGAGATAATTGGAATCTAATTTTAAAACTTAAAATATAAGTATTTCTTGCTGCCTTAATTTGGTAGACATACTTTTTAATGATTGGTAAAGATTTTGGGGAAAGTTTTGCTGCTTTTAACACTCTGGTTAAAGTGCAGGTCCAGTCAAGGAGAACAAGTAATTCCAGTATATCTTTCAAAACAGTGACTTGTTTATGAGGGTGAGAGGGAGGGGAGGACGTTACTGGACTGTACAGATTAGAGTCTTATCTTGGCTAGTTGGGAATTGGTTATAGTTTCATTTTGTGGAGAAATTTCATTGCCAAATATTGCAACAGTAAGGAAATACATACTTAAGAAATCACTAAATGGGCACAGAATTGTTAGACCAACATATTTTTGAGTGAGGAACTATATAATGAGTGATGATATACATTAATTTGTGCATCTTAAATCTCACAATAGAAATACCTTTAAAAAAACCTTCTGGTTTGCATTTATACAACGCTATTTAATTTATTTATTTATATATTTATGGCTACGTTGGGTCTTCGTTGCTGCTCACGGGCTTTCTCTAGTTGCGGCGAGCGGGGGCTGCTCTTTGTTGCGGTGCGCTGGCTTCTCATGGTGGTGGCTTCTCTTGTGGAGTGCGGGCTTCAGTGGTTGTGACTCGCAGGCTAAGTAGTTGTGGCGCAGGGGCTCAGTTGCTCCGCGGCATGTGGGCTCTTCCTAGACCAGGGCTCGAACCTCTGTCCCTTGCATTGGCAGGCGGATTCTTAACCACTGCGCCACCAGGGAAGCCCTACGTTTTTTTTAAACTAAGGTCTGAGGTCAAGTTGGACCACCAGTGAGGACTGGTGTGTACCTTAGTTCTCAAAACTTAACACAAGTGTTTTTTGTAATCATTATTTCAGTTTCAGTTCTTCCTACCTGGGCTAATGGCATTTGGACTTAGCTAAAGGTGAATTTTGCTTTATTTTAAAATTTGATCAAAATCTCCTGAGGAGGACTTAGGCTCTAAGGGACTTAGCTTTTTCTAACAATGAAAATATCCTGTTGTTCACCTCCTCATTTTCTATATTTTTATTAAAGATGCCAAACTCTCAGGTAGCTGCTTTTGTTTCTTTGTATATTTTTAGAATTATGTTTTCTGATATGTTTGCTCTTCTGTTCTGTAGTTAAAACATAAAACAGTTCCTGTTAACAGTTGGTTTTTCTTATGCCCGTGAGTGAGGGGGCTACTCGTTCTGACTAGGAAGTGTCATAGTATTTTGGACAGAATAAACAATCTCAGTATGAAGAAGTGGGGAACAGAGTTTGATCAGAGGATAGAGGAGTAAGAAAGCATAAAATGCCTGAGTCTCCAGGGAGATCTTTTTTTTTTTTAAGCAAGGGTTTCCTGTGCTAAGTCATGCTCTGATGTAAATACTAAACAACAACAACAAAACTATCCTTAAAAAACAAACAAAGAAACACGAAAAACTATCCTTGCTTAAATCAATACTCGGTTGAATTGATTTCAAAATCTGTGATAGTGTTAATCTAGGTGGCCAAATGTGATATCCTTAGACCAATAATATTCAGTGAGGTTTTTAGATATTG